CCCGTGAAGCTACTCGACGCAAGAGTGTCGAGCGCCGTCGTGCCACCGAGGGCAATGAGCCAAGCTGTCGCCATGGCGAACATGTAGCTGAAGGCTGCGGTGGCGAGTGCTTCCGGGCTCAGTCTGCCAACAATAAGAACGCTGATGGTTTGCAGGCTGTTCTGCAGCGTGTACGCCAGGATAACCGGGACAGCGGCTTTGGCCAGCAAGAGTATTTCGGCCAGCCATAGCCGGACTGCGTGGGGTTCTTCCGACTTGACCGCCGGGGGCTTCGGTAGCAATGCCGTAGTCTCGGACCGGGAAGACATGGAGGGCGGGCCCAGTGTGTCGGCCGAGGACGTGTCCGACATTGTGGTTCTTACTCGGATTGCGACCGCTTTCTATCAAGCTCGATGTCACTCCGGAAGCGGTGGTTGTGGAAAGTCCACCCGACTGTCCAAACCGATTTCCGGATGTCGATAGGAGTGACTGCAAACGCGAGTCAAGGGACGAAGCAGATGAGACAATCCGAGGCTAGTTGTGCACCCATGCACCAACGTGTTTGCTGGCGAATTTCGAAAAACTTAAGGGAGGGAGCGAAGGTTCAGACGATCAGATGTCAAACAATAAAACGAAAAGGACAGCGGGAAACGGCTCAGCATTGTATACGGCATTTTTCAAAACTCCATCTTGCGACCCCTCCCCATCCCATGCTGGTATCGAAAGTTCAGACACAAGATAGCTGACAAGAGCTATTTGCCACGCGCAATTGGGCCAAGTTTGTAACTCCAACGACGGACAATTGACTTTGCTCACCTCTCGCGAGGCATGCCTGGTTCTCATCGCGCGGGGAGAACCCCTCAATCGATGGGCAAAGATTGGACAGCGATTAGTCTGCATTTCGGCCGACATGAATTTCTTTCCACGCTTGCGAGGGTCTACGTGGGCGAGAAGGACGTTAGACAGCGGACCGTTGACTCTGAGTGGCTGCATCGATTATCGCACGGCAACTGGCCCATCCGAACTGACGCAATGGATGAGGTCGGATTTCTCGAAGGAGCAAGCGGCTTACATGGTGCGCAGTTGCTGCGACTCTGCCCTACTTATTGTCTGGGAACGCGGCGGCCACCTTGATGAGATACCAAGAGATTCGGTAGCCCAATCTGCCAGAAATGCGAATCGTGCATACCAAGTACACTGCATTCTTCAGCGCGCTAAGCCAAGAAGAGGAGCCGAAGCTCAACCAATGCAGATTCTCTTATCTCGCATCTTATCCGTGGACCGAGGACAGCAACGGCTTACCTAAGGAACAATGGCTCAAGGCACTGGTAGTTAGTTTGGCAGTCTGGTACCGGCACCGGCCCTGGCAACGACGGGCAAGGTTGGCAAAGGCTTCGGTGAACATGCAGCGGGAAACGGCCGACACCGGTATCGGGTCCAGCTTTGCCGGCCGAGTGGAGGTAGGGGGGGCAGATGAAAAAAAAAAAAAAGAATAATAAAAAAGGGCCGACGGGAAGAGGGGGGGGGGGGCGTTGTCTTATCGGCAAGTCGCATTGCTTCCAATCTACGAGTATGTCGTACGGGATATCATCGCTTCACGCCAGCACTGACTGGTTCCCTAGGCACTTTGCTGTGCTGGAGGACTTGTCGAGGTCAGAGCGTGCAAGTACCCATTGGAGCCATCTCAATTCACGCCCATCTCAAGATCTTCGCCGCAGCGAAAGACCGGCGGCCGACCTCATGACCGACGAGACTGTGGGCATGAGAGGAGCAAGGGGGAAAACAAATCTTCAACTTGCATTGGTACAATACGAGAGTGGACATGGAACAAATGGAGCAGCCCCAGAAGACACTCTAGAAGAACCTTGGTCCAAAAGAGGGAAAAATCGAGACCATCTTCAGAGTATCAAAGCGCAATGGTCAACCGCCAGGCGAGTTCGACAAACTCGGGTAGAGGCACGAGAGCACCAGGGTCAATGGTCAAGGATTGATGGGCGCCACCATCTTGGACTAACATTGACATTCTCGCACAGAGTATCAACGACGATCAAGCTTTAGACACGGAAACTTCTTGAAAACAGCCGGAATAGTCTTAGCTACTGAAATAGAAGCTATCCAGCATAGCTGTAACGACGGTTGCGGCCAATGGACGGCACGCGCACGACTAACGGGACTCGATGCCATGTGCTTTTCATGAGTCGAACTGGCCAGGGACAACGGCTTAATCTCATGCAACACGAGGCGACTTGAGTTGACTTCAACTTTAGATTTGAGCCAACCTGATTTCATATCGTCACTACTGCATTAATTGAGTCGAGCAAATGGCGAATGCGGCAACGGACTCAGGTTCAGCGATGGACAGACCGGATACTTCGTACGGGATACATTCGAATGCCTTGCTTGGTGCAAGGTCGAGTCCTCTTTTCACAGAACGCATAACGGCGTCATACAGATCTCATGGTTACGGGTGAGAACCAACGCATTCTGCAGGGCCAAAGTTAAAGTCTAAATAGACGAACCCCGTCCCCTGCCCGGTCAGCGCCCGCGAAGCCCGTCAAGTCAGCCCGCCCGCCCACTGAGCGACATTGAGAGGGTGCCATTTTCTCATCGCATCTTGGACGGCAATCACACGAGGAAGATTCCCTGCCACCGCGGTGGCCGCAAGGTACAGATCAGAAGTTCAGCACGCCAAAGAAAAACGGAGTCTGATCTGACACAGGACGTGGCAGCCTTCTTCGAGTACCTTCATCCATTCTTTGATTGGGAAAGGAATTCGTTCGAAACACGCCGTGGAACGTGGCTCTAAACTCTAAACCTTTCGTCGGGGAACCCTTTCGCCCGCCCCCCTTCTACTGCTGCCTACGTCCGGGACTGGGCTTCGAACAAAGTGAACACGGCCTGTTCCCCTTCGACCAACGTTGGACATTGCAAGGTACCGGATGCAATGTCTGTACCTGTGTTCTCCAGTGTACGGATACATTGCGACAACTCTTCTTTCCCAGTCTCTTCCGCACCACCTTGGTGAGCAGACGTCGTATAGTCACCCCTACGCACCATATCCGTGAGGAACCACTTCCTTCACTTTGCTCTTCCTTGCTCGTGGGACATCGCATTGCATACACCACCTGACGCAGTGCAGCTACATGGCACGATTGCTTCCAGAGTTCCACACCACATGTTTTTCTCGCTCTCTTTCGCTCTTTTTGCCTTTGCATCCTTGATATTCACCCTTCGCTGTTCCTACGATCTGCATAGTATATCCCATCATACACCCTCCTCCTCACCTCCTCTTGCTGTTTTCCCGTTGTTGAAGCTCCCATATGCGTCAAATCGAACTCGGGCTCTCCTGGCAGAGAATCATTTTGGCGGACGTTCGGGATCGACACCGCCAATGCCTCTAGGCTGTCTCCTGCGGATATCTCCTGAACTCTTTTTTGGCTTCAGAGTTTTGACGTCACCTCCGGACGACGGAAGAGGAAACAGAACTGCGGGTGCGGAAATTCCGCTAGAACGGTTACACTTCAGCATCCAACCGTCAGAAGGACCCAGCCCAGCCCAGCCGCTGCCCCGGCACAAGGTGCGGATGCTACGTATGGACGGGTTCGGGAGTGCTTCCTCTCCACTTGCCAACCACCGTCCCGAATCCGCCAGTCAGACGGAGGATGCGTGTCTCACTTCCGCATACGGGGCTTGTGATATCCGTGGTTGAACTGGAGTTTGCCATCCATTCTTCCGTTCTACCGTTTGTCGGTCAGCCAGAACCGGCCCTTTGCAGTACCGATACCACTTCAGACGCAGGTAGGCAACCTCGCTTCGACAGATAGCGTATCCGTACGAGCGTATCGTTTCCCGGGGAAGCGGTCGAACGGGAAATAGGGCGTACAAACGATTTAGGGTTCTTCAGTGCAGCTTCTGGCACGTCCACGTGGCTTCCGGCAAAGTGAACGGACAACCGCCCGGCATCGCACTTCTCTGCGACTTCTCTCTTTCAGCATGGTCGCCCGTTTCATGGGGGCCTCGAACGCTGCCCATCCCGGCCGTGGCGAGTTACATGTTGCCGTCAAAAACGTGGGCAGCGTTGTATCAACCACAAGAGTGTCAGGAAAGAAATAGTCTGCTGGGCGCCCGCTGCTGGGACGGTTCCGCAAACTGGAACACAATACACACCCTGCTATGGGGGAGAGGAGCAGCAAGAGGAGGGGACTTTGCATCGTCACCCACTCTTTAGAGTTCGAGGCCGCAGCATTACAGCAGGCCAGCCTCTCCCCCAGTACCCTCCCTCGTTCCCACCCTCTCGATGCTCGCGCGTCTTAATCCTGGTCTTTCGTCGAACTCTGCCAGCGGAAGGTGCAAGCGCTTTCCCCAGGAGTAATTTCGGAAGTCGGATCGTAGGGATTATTGATGGGCATTTGGAAATGACGACGTTATGGCCCGGGTACGAAGTTGCTGTTTCTTGCACAATTGTCGTGATGCCAAAAATCACCTCCCATGTACCCTGCCATATATCAAGGCCACCCCCGGGCAGTTGCCCTGTCCATAAGCCTTTTTACCCCCTGTCTATTCTTTTTTCCTCTCCCAATGCTACCTTTATGCAGTAGCTCCTAGCAGCAAGCTGACCCCTGAGAAGAGACCGCTGCGCTACGGTGTTGCCGCCGGCAGCGTCGCCTTCTTCATCACCTCGTGGCAAGTTGAAGTCTTGCAAATCCCAGAAATGGATGGCCCGAGAATTGCAGGCTTGCTGTTGTTGTTGTTGTTGTCGCAGACGTTACGCTCAAGGGACGTCATTCTCGACGCAGAACGCAGTAATCTGCTTTTGCCAGTGGCCCCGTCCTTCACACCTCCATGATGGATCCATGATGGAGGAAAATATTTTCCCTCGTTGTCGGGTTTCGTGACCTGCAATATGCGGCCGTGGACCGACGTGTCCAGCAATATCCATGACTTTGCGGGAACGGGGACTCTCCACTACAGAGGAGGAGTCTCTTCAGCAATCGTCGAGTGTTTCTTGGCCACACACCCACTCACCGCTCTTCGCGCCCGGAGCGCCGTCCTCCTCTTGCTGGATGCCGCTCCATCCCTCTCCTCCTCTCCTCCTCCCTCTCCTCCCTCTCCTCCTGCTCTCCCATGTCTTGGCCCTCGAGCCAATGCTGCAGCCGCATGCCGGTCGACGCGGCACCCATAGCCATTGCCCAGTTTTCCACTCCGAGCGTGAGGGTGCTAATCGTCAACATATTTTTCACAAAGCGCGCATGCGGCGTCCGGTGGCATGCCGGCGCGATAGCCAGCATTATCCAGTGAAATATGCCCACCGTGTCGTTCCATATCGACAGGGGTACACGCCATGTCGTCGTCCAGATCTGCAGAAATTCTGATTCCGTGCATGTCCCGCTCAGCGGCGTCCGGGTCATGACGGCCCGCGTGTAGAGTAACGCTGTCATTCGGATAACCTGGTACATGAAGTCCGGACTCTGCTGGTGGTGGTATGCGGATCGAGGACTCGTCGGAGAATCGCTAGCGTCTCGGGTATGTGACTTGGTTGACGACCATTCGGATGTCGTGGAGTCGGAATTCGGGCCCGAAGGTGATCGGCCCGGCCCAACGGAGCCAGGTCCGGCGGCCGTACCTGTGCTGGGCACACTCTCACTCCGTATGGATTCTCTATCGAACGCGGCGGAATAATTGCTTGTTGGTGGCGAATTCGTTCGAGTCGGGGGATCTGAGGACAGACTTTGGCGATGTCCAGGTATGGTTGAGTGAAGACTGCTGATATGTTCATACATGTACTTCCCCATCGCTTGGGCCTTCAGCGAGGCTGGGTTTGTCGTTGCTGATGTCGTCGATTCATCATATATCGCGTCGACGACGCTTAGAAGGTACTTTACATTGTCGAGTATCGAGGCCGTCGCCGGGTGGATGCGCAGACTCGTGGCGCAATCGGAGAAAGACGGGAGTGATCCGCTGCACGGTAGATGTGTCACCATGGGCGATAGATTCGCCATGCGGAGGGGGACGTCCTTTATAGGGTCGACGAAGGCGTACGGTTTCGCCAAGACCCGACGTGCTGAATTTGCCGCTCCTCCTGATGTCGCTGGACCCGTCGACCCTTTGCATCCGCTTCCTCCGCCTTTACGGTCGTCGTCCGAAGGCGACAGAGTCAGTAGCAGTGGGCTGTTTTCGTGGGCGAGGGATATGGAGACATCGTGACTGTGCATATGAGTCAGTTCATCGGGAAGGTAAAGACGAGCCAGGCGTGCATATCGTTTGTTGGAAGAGGATCCGTTCGCGAGTCAAACGAGTCAAGAGTCAAGGCCTAGAGCGAAAATAAGACCAGAGAGGGTCGGACGGACAAATGGAAACACGGTAAATAAGGCGGAAGATACTGCGTACGAGAAAAATGTCGGAAAAGCAAAATAAAGGACGCAATAACAATGCGGGAAGTAAAATATACAAAACGTCCAGACACGCGAATAAATGAGTAGCAATCATGAGTACACGACAAAGGCAGATATCAACCGTCAAAGGTATAATCAAAAGACTCAACAAGGTCAATCCAGAGAACATGTAGAAATCAGAACAACAGAAAAGGTTTACGCACACGATAGCATTTTTCGCCAAGAGGCCGTCCATGCCGAGCTGATTGAAGCCGCCGCGCACTCTGATCATATCTCGCAAGCCCATGAGGTGGTACCTTAGGTCCTGTTCCGATTCGCCCCAGTACCATTCAGCCACGGTGAGCTGAATGACGCCGGCGATGGCCGCATCTCCGGGCTTTTGAATTACCGGTGTGGTTAAACTGTTTGCGTCTGTTGCGGTCAGCGCGGTGGTGTTTGGCACCATGCTCTTACTGCTGTCCGTGGTCAGGTTTTCGTTGAGCATAGCGATGGCTTGGCCTTTGTAAGTCCGCAGGACATCTGTCCGTACATCCCCAGTCTCGTGGAGGAAGCAGGCTGAGGTATAGAGAATGATCCGCATCACTAGGGGATCTTGAAGGCAGAAGGGGGAGTAATGACGTATAAAAGGATTGTTGGGGCTCGGGTCGCCGTTGATAGAGGCTTTGAAACGGGAGAGAACTGCGATGTCTGTACTCGCAAATCAGTATCATGTCTTTGGCAGATCAGGGGCTGTGTCCACTTACACAGTCTAAGTAATTTCTTGTTCAAGGGGCTCTGGTCCACAGGTAAAAGTGCTATTTGCTCGTCTATACCGCTGGCTGGTCGCTCCGGGAATTGTACCCTAGACTCTGCTGGATGTGACCAAGATCCAGGACTCTGTCCATGCTGCGGAGTGTCGTCGTCGTTATGGGCTGTTTCAAAGTTGTCGAAAATCAACTTTGGGACTGCTAGTCGATGTGACAAGACTTGCTGCGATGCTTGGAAGATATCGACATCTAGTATACTACGATCGGGGTTGGCTAATGGAAGCCACGAGACTGACGGTGGAAGACATTCTGTATCGCTGTTGAGGAGCTCTGCCTCTGATCGTTGTACTCTAAGCGTAGATTGGTATGTTGCCGGTTCCGAGCCTGGGCTTGGATGTGACGTCGAAATACCTGGTACAGCCCAACCAGCGATAGAAGGACTCCCGAGCGGTCTTGTTGACTGAGACGCTTGTATCAGGGGAGAGCTTACTCCTGGTAGTGTTGAAAGAAGGGGACCACGACCTCCCGCCCTTGCTGGTGTCAAGAAGGTAGAAGTTCCCGGTATGCGACTGCTGTGGGATTAGATCATGTACAAGATTGTGATAGCAGCCGTAGATCTGGCAGGAGGGAACGGGGACGAGTGCGGAACTTCAGACTTACTTGCCCACGCGGTACTCGCATATTGGTTGAGGAAAACGACGGAGGCAGTTGCTACATGGCTGACCTTGGTCACACTGTATCAGAATTAGTCTTAGGGTCCTTGGATATGAGGGCCCGAGACGAAGCAAAGACGCTTCTTTGCATATCTCGTGAGCGATCAGCCAACACTTGATACCGACATTCAGTGTACACAGCGAAAGGAAAGAAGGCTGAAGTAGTAGGTGTACGTGCCTTCTGCTTCCTCCGTCTGCACTCCCCGCAGGACGTTGTCGTCCTCTCGGCGCGTGCTGCGTTCCGTGACGCCCGCTGCTGCTGCGAGCCTTCGGACATCGTCTGAAAATGGCACGAAGGCGGCGGAGGCGGCGGCTGCTTCTACTGCTACTGCTCCCCCCTTTCGTCTTCCGCAGAGCATCCGTTTCTGAGATACCTGTTTTTTTGTTCCACCTTTCCTGCAGATCGGCGGCGGCGACGCGGTATCGAACATGACGTGACTTTGGACCCGAGAATCTGGTTGAAATGTTTCTGGTAAGGCTGACTTATAAACAAATCGGAGAAAAGAGCAATAGGACATTGTCGAAGCCAGATCAAGTGAGAAAGGAGGCTTTGTCTGAGCTGCAGCTCGTCGGGTTTTGACACATTTGGTCTAGCGTCATGAGGATAGCTTCCGTGGATCGAGCTGGGCTGAGGAAAAGCCACAAACCAGCCCTCTGTTTCTTTCTTGGGGTTTGGTTGATGTGCACTAGCTTCCTCGCTAGTGCGAGAGCCCAAACCCAGGAAGCGGTATCTTGATGGTTCGAGGTTGTGCTCGCTGGAGAGAGAGAGAGAGAGAGAGAGGGAAGGGGGGGCGTACATGGGCCAGTCGGTTCCATGGAATTTCCGTGGGAGACAGCTGATGTATCGATGTCGACACATCGGATCGAGCCTGGTGAGATCCGGTCTGGACACATGGAGACTGTGAGTAGTTGTTGTGCAAAAAGATATGCCCCGCTCAACACTTCCCATCGCTGCCGCGAATATCTCTTGACCGCGTTCAATAATTGCGATAGATGCTACCGGATAATCAAACCACAGGGCAGCAGTTATCCTATCAGCCATACGCTGACTCCAGAAACGGCGTAAATCATGAAGCACAAGCCCCATCGCTGGCGGCTTGTCGTGCTCGAGCCTTGTCAAAAAGAGGCTGGACACTTGTCCCTGTAATACCATACCACTTGGGAGATGGAGTCGATGCGGCACTGTGACGTCAAGTTCGAGGATGGAATTAGCCGGCGAAACAGAGCGATAGGCTCAGACAGTCTTTCCAACGGCCCGCTTTCGGCGAAGCCCGAGTTGGACTCTCATGTTCGAGAATGCGGACCCAAAGAGCAGCCGATGGTTCGCCAGTGTGCGAAAAACGGTTGAGTAAGTTCGACGTGCCGGACTTTTTGACAAACATACGCGGAAGCCTTCTCCATGCTGGGGAATGTGACGCCCACATTGTGACGAAACGATGCAGCCGCAATCAAGCAAGTGCGCTAGCACCAAACATGTGTGTCCTAATTCGGACAGCTGAAGTGAGTCCACGATGCGTAGCTTCTGCCCAATCTCATGGATTGAGAGACCTCAAACTTAATCGACGTCGCCAAAGGAACGAACTGCTCAGCTACAGCAGGAGCCAAGAAGGGCTAGGCCAGGCTTCCCACTAAGGCAGAGCTAGCGCCCTTGGGAACCTCCGTTATTTAGCGAGGTGCCCTGTGGAATTCGTCAGTTCTGTCCGTGGCGCACCGAAAAAGCAAGAAGTGAGGGATGATTTTCTGTAAAACGTGTTCATAGAGACATGGCTTCGTAAAACGTGCCTATAGAAGCCCGCTGCCGGCCCCCAAATGTCTCGGTTGGGCTAGTTGAGGTAGCATTCCTGAAGGCTTCCCAATGCTTCGAAAAACTCCATCTCGTGTCGGTTCTTACTTTGGTCTGTAATGCGAACCGTGGGTTAGGGGGGCAGGGAGGAACGAGACGAACATCAATGAGACATTGGCATGCCCCTCGTGGCTGTTCACATTTGCTTTGACAATGTCGGTACGGCGCCACGGGCGGCGAGCCTGGAAAAAGCCTCGTTGGCTAGCTGAATGTGGTGCGTACGCCATTATACTTAGATGAGGTGGAATAAGGTAGGTAGTAGATTCGAAGCTGTGTCGACGGCTGTAGCTTCATTCTCGAGCCCAAATATTGAGCTTTTGGTCTGTCAGAGTCCGCAGCGAAATTTCCAACAGAATTGAAGTTCCAATATACCAAAAACGAATCGAGGTGACTAAATCAGGCGGAAATACAATGGGAGTAAGGACGTTTTGGCAAGCTCAGGGGAACGTGCCTTTTAAGCTTAAGGCCGGTTCGCGATCAGCAGGGCCCACTCCGCCGTGACGTAGTGACCCACTAGCCGACCGAGTTCTCGGGTTCTCGCCACCGCCCGGAAAGCGGGAAGGTCCCGGGCTTGGAAGTAGTCGCTCCTTTGCTGCACTGAGAAATTAGTAGGCACTTTGAGTGAGATGTCTAAGCGCGAGGAAATGTCATTATTTCATTAAAATGGCCGCGTGCTATTCCACCACTGCACATGGCCAGTAGAATCGCATGCGTTGGAATGGTATCTGACCTAAAACCCCCCAAAACCTGATTCGTTTTCCGAAGAGAACTCCCTTTTGCTGTGTGCTCTTGAAGAAACAGAGCCTCATAAACCAGCATGATATCCACTTCCCTGATGGTATTACTGCGCTCCGAGTGCTCTCATGTGGAGAAATGGGGTATCCAATCGATCTTTCCTTCCTTTACCTCCCGCGGTAATCCGGTTTTCTAGCCATATTCACTGGTGGAGGCTCGTCATCCACTGGATAGGGTAGGGGCGACGAGCCAACAGGACGACGGCCTCCGACTGCCTGATGTTCCGGGAGTGGTGTCTTGGGAGGCAGCGGTGGTGGAATACGCTGTGGCTGTTGTGACTGCTGGACCGGACCGTTACTGTAAGGCTGGTTCTGCCATCGTGGATGTTCATCCGGGCTCATGAAAGCAATCTTATCAGCGCCTGCTGCGTAGCGATACTGCGCTGGGGTGGGCGCAGTGACAACAAGTCTATCAATCTCATCGTCCTTCGCCGGGGGTAGGGGCCGTTGCTCGGGCCGTGGTGACGACGATGGTTGCAGCCGTTCGCCGGAACTTCTTGGTGAAGGACTCATTGGTGAGGGAATGTGCAAGTGCTCAGAGCCAGATTCGTAAGACTGACGGCTGGGCGGCGTGTTGTGTGGCGGCCACGATGTAGGAATCTCGGCTGGCAATTCTACCGCAAACGACATTGGCTCAGTCGTCTCCGAATTTGACTTGACCAGTTCAGGGACTTCTGGTAGGCGTGAGAACCTAATGTTCGCTTTGTGAATCTTGGCCATCTTCGCAGAAGCACCTTGAATCATTTTCTGCTCGACCTCTCGCCTCAGGTATTGCCGTGTGCTCGTGCTGATTTCGGCCAGGCGATGCCATTCGTTCATACCAAACTCGCCGACGCCAACCTCCACATTAAGACGGTAGTAGTTTTCGACGTTGACGTTCCGCTTCAATAAGTGCTCTTTCCTCATTTGCTCGTGGATAGCCTCACATCCCTCAATCTTGGAGATAAGCTTCCGGCGAGCTTCCGCAAACTCTCCCAGGAAACCTTCGTACCACATCTGGGAGTTTGCATCACTTCCTTTGGGCCGTCTGCCGGTACCAACGCTGAGAAACACGCCGACTTCGCGACCCGGCCATTCGTTGACTACGGCTTCGTCAAGAGCCTCGGGAGAAGGGTTGAAGGTGCCGCCACCGTCATCGTGAAAAACGGACTGCCCGATTTGAATGGGCTTGAAGGCTAGGCCGATCGCACATGTCGCTCGTCCAGCCTGCCAGATCTTGCAGTCGAACTCTGGCGGAGGCTCTCTTCTCGAATCGTAGGATCGCAGTACGGCGGCGGGGTTGCCCTTGCGGGAACCTTTGTACATTGCCAAGACGGCGCTGAAGGGAAATGTCAGTTCAAAGCGCGTTGCTACGTGCCTGGCAGAGTACCGGCAGTCAGTAGATAAAGACGTACGTTTTAGTCCTGTTCTCCCTTGCGTCGTAAAGTCTCGCGTTTGGGTCACCGTACCGCGAGTTGAAGGCTGGGCGTGCCATCTGAGCCTGGGGGCTACGTGCGCTGAAGCTGACAGTGCTGGCGTTGCTTGCATGCCTCCGGGGATTTGAGGTGTTGTAGCCGCTGAGAGGGCTGAGAACATCGTTCTCGGTACCGTCATTGCCCTCTTTTTGATACACTGTGTGCTCCCTCACAGCCTCCTTGATAGCCTCCTCAAGCTTGGAGGCTTTGAAGAGGGTTGAGCGGTAGGGAATGCCGGCGATAGTTTTGTCGGTTTCGAAGACCATGCGCGTCAACCTAACGTAAAGTTCCTTGCACTGCTCTAGATCAAGGCGCAGTCGACCGAGCATCAGGGCTATAAGACCGCCGGTACCGGTTCCTACGATGAGGTCGAAATGATCGCAAGGCCGAGGGATTTCGTTTCGCCGCGGGGCTCTCCCCTCGATCTCGACAAAGGTACGGTGCATAAGTTCTTGGAGAATGATAAACATGGAGTAACCACGGACTCCTCCGCCATCTGTCATAGGCATGTTAGCATGAGCGCTTCCGGGCCAGTTTCGCGGGTTTTGCGCGCGATTTGGGGGTCGCGAAAGTGGCCGGTCTGCTTCACTTTGCTTACCTAGAGACAGAATGCGTAGGGGAGGGCCCTTTGTGGTGTCCCTCCTCCTGACCCCATTGGAGTCCATGATCTGGGCAAGCTCTCGTGGGTAAGCTGGCTTGGTCGCGATCCACCGGGCTTCTTGATATTGGTGTGGGGTATCGGTTGTCGTTGAGAAATGTCTATTGGCGGTCGCAAAGTGGTTGGTTTTTCGCAGAGGGTTTGTTGTTTTCTGCGAGATGCGAAAATTAGGAATTTCGGAGAAGATGGACTAGTGCTGTAGGTGCAAGTGTGTAAGTAGGTAATTAGTTTAGGCAAAGCAAGGCAAGGCGGGTAAGGCAAAGTGCAGATGGTAATAATCCACCGCCCACCCACGAATACAAGTACAAGGCCTGATCACGAGTGGGAGGGTGACGCAAAGAAACGACTTGCGCCCTGCACCATCCACTCGGATGGGGTCTTGGCCAACCCTGTCACTTGCCCACTTTGTGGAGGATGGACTCACCACTTGTGGTCACTCTACCGATGATTAGCAGAATGTAGTCGCATTCGCAGCTTGGGCCGGAAGATGGGCGAAAGTCTGAAGATGGTCGGCTGGTAGCGATTGGGATGGCGATGGCGACGGGGAGCAAAACACCCCAGCGGGAACCTGTATTCGACCTCAGAGTCCGCGACTGCGTGTGACGCCACAGTAGCTAATTTAGAAATCGCCCAGGGTATTTTAGCGACTTATGGATGGGCACGAATGGAAGGCCGCCGTTGC